ACACGGACAGCAATTTTGAACCAAAATAACTATTTGGTTTAGAGGGGTAAATTATGTTGGTCTAACCCTTGTGAGGATGCAGTGAAATAACTGGTGTGCCTTATACCAACATTGTTTATTGCACTTTCTTTACAAGAATATGCTATAGTGGTACCGGTTGAAACTCCCCAATCCAGACCTCCCTGGTCTGGCAACACCCCTAGTCTGGCATCAATCAGCAAAGCAACCTCATGGGAGCACTCATGGGACAAATCAGTGGGGTCGGACCAGGCGCTTCACTGGACTAGGGAGCTAGGAGAAACCTGAGCCCCACAGTGGCAGCATAGCCTCCTGGCAGCTGGGGAAAAGCAGAGCTCTGGGCCGGAATTGACTTCCTCTTATCCAGAAAATTCCTTGGTCCAGGACTGGTCAGATTCCAAGGGTGCTGGACCAGGGCAGTTCAAGCTGTGTAAGAACCTTGTGTAAGTGCATCCATAGTACTGGTACAATTACTGCACAAAGTATCAGTGTCAGTGTCTGTGTCCATGGAAAGAGCACACAGTTTTCTGCTGTTGGGAAGAATGTTTCTACGGTATTAGTGAGCATTAACACGTCGTCAAAATCAGATTAGTTTGGGGGTGAGGGACCACATACCTCTCCCCATTAACCAGTCTCACTACACAGCCTTGTTGCCAAACCTACTGCAATAATCAAGGCATGTCTAAAACTTCTCCCCAGATGCTGCTACTCTACTCATGCAAGTACTGCCATCTTGCTCTGGAGCCGTGCATTAGATTTTGGCACATGTGTGATGGGCATAGGTGGAGCACCAGAGTATATTGTTAACACCTTTGTGCAGGGGAAAGATGATCCTTAATTGGAGGCCAAAAGACACTTTCCAAAGTGCCAGTTGCACAGCTGAACTTTATTAATCGAATGCTTCAAAGCTGGATAAAAGCTTTTTGGTTCAAAAATATTTTTCCTCCGGATTTTTAATGGGTCCATATGCTTCTGGGTTCTGTCTGGCACCAGCAGTGCCAGCATCCTATGGGGAAAAGCTGTTCCTGGTGTACTTTCAGAAGCAGGAAGTACCAATATACTGACAGACTGAGCATATGACACTTCCAGCCCAATTTCAGCAGACCCGGGCTGTTGGGATAGTTCATCAAAATATCAGGCCCATGGAACGCTGAACTCGGAACCACCTGAAATTCCCCCACTGAGTCACATTCCTGGATTATCAGCAGGTAATGCCGATGTAAAGCAAAGTGATTAAAATGGTTTATTGGGACTCATAAGTAGGAACTCGTATTTTGCATTTGTTACTAAAGACAGGGTGATTGTGCCTGCTTGGGATAATTTGGTGGTGCTTTGTGTTAAGCAGGAGGATGCACTAGGTCAGCATTTTTCAAACTTGGGTTGCAGGGCCGCCAGGGTAAGCCGCTAGCTGGCTGCGACTCACGATGTGTGTCAGACACCATTTGGACAGGAATCAGGTATCAATTCAAAATGCACAAAAACTGCACTGATTTAAATGAACCCACCTCAAATATTCTGGACACAGACGTGTTTTGGCAAACTCAGGCTGCATTTAAAACTGATTTAGCAAAGAAAGGACGTATTTCCTGCAGTTTGGAGAACTGGTGCCTATCAGTGAATTTGCAAATGGAACTCTCTTGAAGGACATGGTGAGGTCTGTGGCCTGCAGTGGCCCAGGTGTGTGCTGGTGCGGTAGAGCAGACATTTCCGACATCGACAGGAACAGTTTTCCATCTGGATAGGTATATGCCTCCCTGAGAGACTTACAGCTACATCAACAGAATAACGTGTCTATAAATCGAGCTGTATTTACAGTGTTTGTTAGGTCAAACTATGCTGCACAGGAAAGAAAATTTTTCAAAGCCCTGAGCAATGGGGCTTTAGGCTTAATTTAAATCTGCAGGCTAATCTATACCTAAAAATAACGAGTCTAGTAAGTTTCTCTGACTCTGACCTTACTGTAGGAAAGTAAAGGAGACTATTACACTAAACGAGTCATTCTTAAACTTGAAGTGAAAGATCGGCCACCCTACAACTGCAAGGGGGAAAGCAACCCAACATTTAAAATGGGATCGTTTTCAAGTCTGAAACTTGGATACAAATACTAAAACCAAAATGACATGAGACACCTTCTGCCAAGCACCTCAGGAAACATTCCCTGTGGAATCCCTGATGGATTTCAACAAGAGTTGTTGTTTTCTGATTAAAAAAAAATAGCAAACCCCCACAACGCTAGTCATTCTCAGGCAGGGCAGATAAAAGAATGTCTCTCTAAACCAGGGGTGGGCAATAATTTTAGATGGGGGCTGCCCCGGGGCTTCAGGCAGAAGAGCCGTGCTTCCCCACCCACAGAACCTGATTGGCCAGGGGGTGGGGGAAACACATGAAGTCTTTGCCTTCCCTGCTCCCCCCGCCCCGCAGCAAACTGCCAGCTGTTCTGAACAGCTGGCAGTTCCCTCTAGGCGCTCGCACCCCTGGCACCAGGAGGAGACTTCACATGCCCCCCCGGCTCCCAGGTTAAGTAGAGTCTGAGGGCGGGGGGAGCACGGGAAGTTTCTTGCTCCCTGCCCCCACCCTGCAAGGGGACGCTGCACTTAAGAGTCGACTTGCAGGCCAGGAGGAGACTTTGCGTGCTCCCCTGCCCCCAGGCCAATCAGAGCCCGGGGGCAGGGGAGCACATGAATTCCCCTCCCCCACCAGGGGGACTCAGAATTTAAAGTCAGCTGCCAGGCCCTTTTTGCCCACCCCTGCTGTAAACCCTTGTGTATTAAGTGGGTGAGGTGAGATGGTTTTAATGGGAATAGTTCCAGAATGCCCGTGCAAATCTTTGCAGGACTGGGACCTTAAGGGCTACATTTTTAGTAGATTGAGCTAAATTCTGCTTTGTGATACTGGTGTAACTGAGCAGAATTTGACGCGCCTGAAGTAGGAACATTAAAACTGGCACGGTTCTCTCTTCTCCGCTCAAGAAAGAGCAGGTTGACTTTTGTGTTAGAGTGAATTCAGGATGATCGATAGTAATTAACTAGTGTTGACGAGATCACTGCAACATTCCAGAGCAATTCATTGGGCTGATTCTGTTACAAAGATGAATACTTCTCTCTCGTAAGGATATGAGCCAGCTAACGAGATCCCTGTCTCCTCGAGAAGCTCTCTGGCATCATTTTATACTAACAATTGTGAAGTCCCCAGAAATGCCATCAGAGAGAAATAGCTACTCTTGAGAGAACTGCCATTTCCCACTGAGCCTAAAATGAGTGATCCTATTATTAATTTGATAAAGAAAATCAACTGTCCTGTTCCAAAGAGCCTTTCAGCAGATAAAATCCTCACAATAACCGTCTAACCGTTTTTATAGAGGTGGTTCAATGTGGTGAACCTGTTTCATTCCTTGACATTTCTCATTGCTATGTGTTTGTGGGTGGGTGTGTTTCGGGGGGAAGAGTGTTGGTCTGAGCACCCCGAAATCTCCCTGTTTTCATGCTGTTTCCAGGGACTGAAACAATTCACAGTGGAGCAACTGAATATCAGTTCACCGAGTGGCTCTCACCCATGGATGTCGAAAAAGCTGGTGTTAGCATGAAGAAGTATTGTATCCAATACTTCAGTTAGCATCTGGGGTATTGTGTCAATTCTGGGCCCCTAATTACAGTTCCAATTTTGAGCCCTCCATTACAGAAAGGATGTGGACGCACTGGAGAAAGTCCAGTGGAGGGAAACCAAAATGATTAAGGGGCTGGAGAACATGACTTACAAGGAGAGGCTGATAGATTATGGACTTATTTAGTCTACAGAAGAGAAGAGTGAGGAGGGATTGAATAGCACCCTTTAATTTCCTGAAGGAGGGTTCCAAAGAGAATGGAAAGAGGCTGTTCTCATTAGTGACAGATGACAGAATGAGGAGCAATAGTCTCAAGTTTTATCGGAGGAGGTCAAGGTTGGATATTAGGAAAAACTACTGTACTAGGAGGGTGGTGAAGCACTAGAATGGGTTCCCAAGGGAGGTGGTGGAATCTCCATCCCTAGAGGTTTTTAAGTTCCAGCTTGACAAAGCCCTGACTGGCTTGATCTAGTTGGGATTGGTCCTGCTTTGGGCAGGAGGTTGGACTTGATGACACCTGAGGTCTCTGCCAACTCACGGATTCTATGATTCTATAAGAACAAGTTGGGTGGTGCCCCCGCCTTCGCCCCCCAGCCAGATGGGGCAGCAGATGAAACAGTGAGTGGAAAGGCAAGAGGTGCTCAGTTCTATTCTTACTTCTGCCCCCTCAGCCTCTTAACTAAGAGTAGAGATACATTATTTAGTGGGTAGTGAAAGAAAAGAACCATGGAACAAAACCAAAGTAAAAGAAGAGCATTTGGTTTAAAGCAAACTACCACCACAACCCTCTCCCCAAAGAATCCCCTAATCAAGGGGAAGAAAAACTGCCGTGTACTTTTCTACAGTTGCAACATATTGCTTAGCCCGATTCTGAAGTCCACAAAGTGTGACTAAGTTTGCTACTGTGTCATGAGTGCTGGAAAAGGAAGAAAGTGAAAAGGAAACTGGTGGGGATGCCTTACCTTGGTATCGTTCCACAAGCACAAAATTGATGCCAGAATGATTCATGATTCTGATACTGAACTTGAAAAATTGATTACAAGATCTAACTTGTACGGAAATGGGGATTCGTTATACCGAGTAAGAGATCCTGAGTTTTACATCCCCTTCTTATCATAAGCGCTGACATTTTCCATGCTTGTAAAGTACTAACTAAATGTACTGCAAACCATATTAGCTACCAGCTTAATAGTTCATATTTCAGCACCCCCTCCCTCTCAGACATACAGTAAAGAAGGCTAAGACCCAAATTCTGAGGTTTTCACTCGGTCTTTAAGTAGACCAGTGCTCACTGATGACAATGGGATCTGACCGAATTAAACCTTGGGAAAGGGTCAGCTAGCCTTTCATAACAGAGGAAGAAAGAAAAACTTTTCACCACCTTCAAACTCTGTTTGGCAGTTGCCAGAGTTTTCATTTAAACTCTCCTCTTCAGTGATGATGATGTTTTCAATGTCCTTCATTGTTAAATGGTCCCGAAATGCATGATACAGAATATGTTTGAGCTCTTCCAGCGTTATCCTTTGCATGTCAAACTGTGGGAAGGGAAGAAAGGACTTCAGTTAGTTGGCGTCACTGATAACAAATCTTAAGTGCTTTCGCGACCTTCTCTCCACATCCAAGAAAACCCAATTTGCTACATGCTCATTATTTAAGCATGGGCGAAAGGCTCCAAAGGTTATTTTCTACATTCTTTTCCATACTTCTATGCTGTTCTTTAGAAGGGACATAGAAAAGCACGCATGTGATGTATATACATCACTACCCCTATCATTTCCATGCAGCTCATGGGCCTTTAGGGGCTTGCATGCGCCCAGTAAGCCGAGTTCAGGACGGGTTCTATGAGGGTGTGTCTACATTGCGACACATTTTCAACATAACTAGCGCTATTCTGAAATAACTTAGTACGTGTCTATGCAGCAGGCAGTTATTTCAAAATAGTGTCAAACTGGAGGACTTCTTACTCCAACTCCTGTAACCCTCATCGTGCGAGGAATAAAGGAAGTCAGAGGAAGAGTGCTCTATTTCGGAATAAGTGCTGTGCAGACACTCCCTATTTCGAAATAAGATAGGCAATTGACGTAGCTCAATTTGCATAGCTTATTGCGAGTTGAGCCCTGCTGTGTAGATGCACCCTGAGAAAACAGCTGGAGCCCTGCCACAACTCGGCAAACCTCCTTTTCAGTAGGATCTCTCTATGTTGGGCTGCCTAGCGGCTTTTTGTAGTGCAGTGCCATCTTTCCACGCCCCCTCCCTCTTATTTGTCATGGATTCTCTTTCTTGAATGCATAATACAGAGAAATGGCATTCATCTTGAAGTATGCTTGACCATAGACAAGGCAGGGGGGTGCTGGTCCCACACAATGTCAGTGCCTATCCTGACACTGTCATTGCTGCAAACATATGCAGAAACCTCTGTGTCTCAGCAGAACACAGTTCCTCACCCTTCTCCACAGGGTATATCTTTGCTTTTGGGTGAGCATCAGTGTTCCCTGTAAGTACCCATAACTGGCAGCATGGGTTTCTACTGAAGGTGCTCATCCACACATCATAAAATTTATTCTGCACATGGATGGAAAAGAATTAGAGGGAAGACCGGGAATTTATATTCATGTCTGATTGCTTTGTTCTCCATTCATAGATGATGGTTTATAATCTAGAAAATGAACTCATATATATGCAGAATATGCTCAATTCTACATGTATATAGAATAACACTGGCCATTTACATGCAACCTCTGTAGCCGTCTCACCCCTTCAAAAGAAACGCTCACACCCTGAAATGAAACAGAAATCCAGAACGAAACCTCTGACCTAATGCAGTGATTGAGAAAAATAAATTACTGCGTGTGTCTGCTTTTTCCATTAAACACAACTGGCAGCAAGAAATTAGATTTCTTATCCAACAATTTCATAAATCATAGGAGCAAAGGAGAACCCGCCTCTCCAATAATTAGATACATTGAACATGGGAAACAGCTAAGAAATTATATCCCTGTGTTTTCCAGTTAAGACCCTCTTTCCTGACCCCCTTCTCCTCCGCTCATGAAAAATCCTACGCCTTTTAAGCCTATGTGCTAAAACAGCTTCTGAAAGCCTGATACCTTTATTTATATGCAAAAATAATTTTAGATACCGACTCATTGATCTATAAAATTCTAATTAGAATCATTTCTTTTTCATGTGACCTGTAAAATCTGATGCCAACAATGTTATCACAGAGAGAGCAGGAGCAATGGTGAACATTGCAAACTCCACATGTAGCTCCAAAGAGCCCCTGTCTACTGGGATCGGCTGCTTTCCTGTTGGATACATTCTTCAGGGACACCACTCTGCCCTACTAAAAATCCCACCAAAAGCACAGTAGCAGCAATCTATAGGCTTTGCTTGCCCTAGAAGAATCACACACATGCATACATAGTGAAAAATGTCCCATTCATTCTTCCTATTCATAGTCCTATTTCTGAAAGAAATTAGGAGAGGAGTATACACATTTCCTTGCTTACAACACAGTGTTTCTCCTGGCAACTAGAGCTCTGTAAATGTAGGCTAACATGCACTTGGCTACCTCACAGGGGTGTCGGAAGCATTAATTAGTTGATGTTTTTAGAGTGCTTTGAAAACGCAAAGGATTGTTCCAGCGCAAAATGTCCTTTGATCATTTTTACCCCCTTCCGAGGCAGTGTTTTCAAGTCGGCATGGTGCTGAGGCGAATGGCGTTGTAAGTCTGGGGTAAATCCAGAACATCTCTGCTGCTAAATACAGGCAAAATGTAGCTTAGCTAAAGTGCAAGGTGTTACCATGGTTCTGTGAAACGTTCAGTGCCCAAAAGTTCAATCCCACACACTGGGAGTACGCTTTCTCACCCATCCCGTAGTTTTGCTTTCCTCTTTTGGTGTGGACAGCTCTTGAGTTAGGGGTTGTGCTTGAGATCACGCCACAGCAAAGCCCTGGTCTTATTGGCACCCTTGAGCCTGCCGAGATGTCTGATAAGCCAATGCAACAATAGTGCGTTTTTGAGATCTTTGTCTCAAAGGGCAATCGCAGACGCCAGGACATGAGTTTTTGCACAGGAATTTCAAAGCTCTCCCTGCCAGAGATTTGCTCCTGTTCTTGTCTGCCCCCGCGCTAGCTCCACCAGTAATCGGGGTGCCGGCAAACACTAGCAAGCACAGCCTGTGAACAGGGCCAGATTAAGGGGGGGGGGGCTAGCCAGGCAGCTGCCCAGGGCACCAACCTATGGGGTATGCCTGATGGCAGCTGTAGGGGAAGCTGCAATCAGGCGCTGCGTGCCCAGGGCTGGGAGCCGCACGGCGCCCCTTAGAGCTGCAATCAGGCGCTGCGTGCCCAGGGCTGGGAGCCGCACGGCGCCCCTTAGAGCTGCCGGGCAGCTACCCGGGGCACCAACCTATGGGGGGCGCTTGATGGCAGCTGGAAGGGGTGCTGCACGCCTGGGGCCTGGGGCTGCGCAGCGCCCCTTAGAGCTGCAATCAGGCACCAGGCACCTGGGTTCAGGAGCCACACGGCGCTCCTTAGAGCTGCAATCAGGCGCCGCGCACCCGGGTCCAGGGCCGGATTAAGTGGGTCGGGAGGGGCTAGCCAGGCAGCTGCCCGGAGCACAAACCTATGGGGGGCACCCAATTGCAGCTCTAAGGGGTGCTGTGCGCCCGGGGTGGGGGGCTGCGGGCTGCGTGGCGCCCCTTAGAGCTGCCATCAGGCGCCGCGTGCCCGATAGCAGCTGTAAGGTGCGCAGTGTGCTGGGGTGCGGGACCGCACATGCGTCGTGCGCCCGCTGCCCGGGGTGCAGGAATGGCTCGGGCCGGCCCTGCCTGTGAACTCCTGGCAGATGCATTCATAAGCACAGATCATGGTCGTTGTGCTAAATCATATGGAACCCGCACGCATGTGTTGGGGAACTTAGAACAGACTGTCTTCTCGTGAGCCCACGGTCACTGGTGTTCTGATTCCCCAGGTGTTTCTGTACCTGCTGGCGGCTCGTACTTATTCCACCCTTTGCCTGAGTCGTCTTTTGCACTGAGAGCATTGTCCATGTGCCTTTTGGGACATTCTAGGGAAAGGGAATCGGGATGGGGTAGTTTCAGAGATGATGCAAATCAACTTCAAGGACCATGGGTGTCAAAAGCAGTAACATAAGGGCCCCAAGACACCCCTCAGCACAGAACTAGTGAAGCATGGGCCTAGCCCCAGCCTGTGGGCCATCTAGCCCAATACGCCATCTCAGCACCAGAGGTAGGTGCAAGAAATTCCCCCATGGACAGAGAAGCACATTTGGATAACAACACACTTCTTCCGCAGTGTGGCTGGATTCCACGTCAATGGTCAGCTGGCAAAGGACTCTCTCTCTCTCTTGAGGCTCTCTGGAAGAAACCCCCGTGGAAGGATTCTGCATTGGCCGTTTCCTTTTGCTGACAGAATACCATTCCGTGGCGGCAGCTCTGCGGCCGTATGAGCATCTGGCACAGGCACTCTCTCTTGTAAGCCTCTCCGCTCCACGCAGCACCCCCTCCCCCTTGTCATACCAGTCCCAGCTGCAGACCCCTGGTTATGTTCCCTGCGGTGGAGCCAGCAGCTGATGGGCAGGTCCAGACTTGTTTTCACTCACAAGAGGGAGTTTATGATTTGAGGTGGATAGATCCTGCCTGGTGTCACACTCCCTACCCCCAGTACCCTTCGGACTGAGGGGGGGAGTAGGCAACACCTACTTATCGTGGACAGTTCTCTGAAAACTTCCACGCAGTGTGCAGCGGCGGTCAAAAAGGCAAATAGGATGCTAGGAATTATTAGGAAAAGGATAGAAAATAAGACCCAGAATATCTTACTGCCCCTGTATAAAACTATGGTACGCCCACATCTTGAATACTGTGTCTCTTCACCTCAAAAAAGATATTTTGGCATTGGAAAGGGTTCAGAAAAGGGCAACTACAATGATTAGGGGTTTGGAACGGGTCCCATATGAGGAGAGGTTAAAGCGACTGGGTCTTTTCAGTTTAGAAAATTGGAGACTGAGGGGGGATATGATAGAGGTCTATAAAATCATGAGTGGTGTGGAGAGGGCTGATAAGGAAAAGTTATTTATTAGTTCCCTAAATAGAAGAACTCTAAGGACACCAAATGAAATTAATGGGGAGCAGGTTTAAAACTAATAAAAGAAAGTTCTTCTTCACACAGCGTGTAGTCAACCTGTGGAACTCCTTGCCACAGGAGGCTGTGAAGGCTAGGACTATAATAGAGTTTAAAGAGAAGCTAGATAATTTCATGGAGGTTAGGTCCATAAAAGGCTATTAGCCAGGGGATAAAATGGTGTCCTCGGCCTCTGTTTGTCAGAGGCTGGAGAGAGATGGCAGGAGACAAATCGCTTGATCATTGTCTTCGGTCCACCCTCTCTGGGGCACCTGGTGCTGGCCACTGTCAGCAGACAGGATACTGGGCTAGAAGGACAAAAGGTCCTGACCCAGTACAGACGTTCTTATGTATGTTTTTATGCAACCCACTCGTACAGCACTAGCCTACTGCA